AGTTTTATTGCGCATGCGCAAGATACATGAGTTAAAAAAATTGTAAGTCATAGAAATTTATGATCCATTAGTCTAGTTTAATGTCCCGCAAACAGAATTGAAAAATATTTTCATGRYAATGAGTRGTRAAGTGGCCCCTGTTTTTTGGGACACACGGTATATGTAGTGTATATGATCCTACTATTCCAGATTTCCCACTAAAAGTTTTATTTTACAAAAATGGCATGAATTCATTATTAGCAATAATCGAAAGCTGGAAGATATCAACAAAAATAGTCTTATATGTTCTTGTCATTTTACTCCGCAGTCTTTTATTGTACACAATAAAAACAKAATATTACAAAAACACGCTGTACCAACAATTATAATAGCAAGAGTTAAAGGTGTAAGTATTTATTTAATATATTTATTTTAACTTTAAAATAATTTGAATTTGTGCTATTTTGCTTATTTTCTATATCATAGGCAAAAACTATGTTTTCTGAACTTAAAGAAGAGATACCCCAAGCAACCTCATCTATAAGTAGTAGTTCAAATCTTCAAATGAAAAGGATCTTGGTTAAAGTAATTATATTAATTTTTTTAACTTGTTTAATGACTACCAAGTTATAATCATTTTTTTTTCAGGTAACTGATAATAGTGAACGTGAACATGGTATTCTACCACTAGTCAATCTTGAATTGGAACAATCTATGGCAAGCGTGTCATCAGATGTAATTAATTCATCAACTAATACAGCAGAAGTAAAACTACTCATAATATATACTTAGTTTATTAAAATTTATTATTTAAACAAAAATATATTTTTTTTTAGATAACTGATAATAATGAACCTATGAATAGTACATTAGAATTCGTTGATAATGATTTAGATCAATCTATGKTAAACGCATCACCAGATACATTTAATTCACCAACTCCTACTATAAAAGTAAAGTCAGCTTATTTAACTGCATCCAAGACTTCTATTGATGATACACCAAGACGATCATTTCTTAAATATGGAATTCGTCAGTTATCAAATGAAATTCAGATCAAAAATAGCAAATTAAAAAAATTACAACAAACTATTCGGCGTCAAGACAAAAAAATTGCTACCATGTCAGAAATCATCAAAAATTTAAAAAATAAAAATCTTTTAAATGAAAATGATTCTGATGTTCTTTTTGAATCTTTTGGTAAATATGCTAATTTAATAACGAATTGGTCTGAAAATAGCTTAGGGAAAAAAGTGCCTAAATATAGTCCTGCTATTAAACAATTTGCTTTATCATTACACTTTTTTTCTCCTAAAGCTTACCAATATGTTAGAAAACAATTTAATACAATTATACCACATACACAATTTTGTGGTACAAAGTATTATGACAGAGTTGATTTTGGCAACAATTTGGACAGCGATTCTTTAGATTTAGTTAAACAATGCTTGGTGTTTATGGTGGTTTCTATAAATGAGGGTTGGAAAATTCCAATTGGTTATTTTTTGACTTCTAACTTAACAAGCATGCAAAAAGCTGGACTGACAAAACAAGCTTTATACCTTCTAAAAGCCACTGGAATTAAAGTAGTTAGCTTAACATTAGATGGTTGTTCCAYAAATCTTACCATGGCATGCATTTTAGGTTGCGATTTAAATATTGAAACACTTAAAACTAATATTGTAGTAGAATTATCTGACAAAGAAACAGAAAATATTTGTTTATTTCTAGATCCTGCTCACTTGATCAAGCTTGTGCGAAATGCTTTCGGCGAAAAAAAAATATTTCAACACAAAAATGATTACATTAAGTTTGATTTTATTGAAACTTTGTTTTTATTGCAGGAACAAGAGGGTTGCCACTTAGCCAATAAGTTAAGAAAACAACATATTTTTTATTTTAAGCAAAAATGAAAGATAAACTTGCTACACAATTATTTAGCAAATCAGTTGCAGATGCATTGAAATTTTGCAAAAATAAATTAAATATTAAAAAATTTTCTGATGTAGATGCAACAGTTGTATTTATTGAATTATTTAATTCGGCTTTTGATATTTTAAATTCACGTTCTATTAATACTACTGATGAAAAAAAAGCTCTTTGTAAGGAAAATTTTCATTATATTACAGACTTTACTGAAATGTTTACAGAATATGTGAAACATTTAAAGATTAGAGAGAAAWTAATTTCATACCAGTACTAGAATCAAATAGAAAAACAGGGTTTATGGGTATAWTGGTTTGCTTAAATTCTTTATTACAATTGCATTATAAATTAATMGCTGCTGGTATACTTGAGCATTTTAAATTGTACAAAATAAGTCAAGATCATTTGGAATTATTTTTTGGGACCATAAGAGCTCAAGGAAGGTATAATAACAACCCAACTGCACGCCAATTTCAATCTGCGTACAAAAAATTTGTTATTAGAGTAAATGATATAGGATCTTTTAATACAGGAAACTGCATACCACTTGAAAATATTGACATTTTAAATTATTCAAGCTCAGATCCAATCAAAGTAATAAATTTGAGTAGTAATAATTATAATGGTTAATTTGATTTAATACTTTCTGAGCAAGATAAGTTAGAAAATGATGTAGTGGAATCCTATATAAACGGTCATGATTATGTTTGTAAACCCAATGAATATACTATTAGTAATTTTTCAAAAGAAGTTACCATTTATATAGCTGGATTTGTTGTTTACAAATTAGCATCAGCTCTACATTGTGACATTTGTATAAAATCATTATGTGCAATTAATATAGGAGCATTTTTAAATTCTTTAATAACTATGAAAAATAGAGGTGGTGATCATGGTGGTCTTATGTACCCAAGCGATGATGTTCTGGAAATTTGTTTTCAAACTGAAAAGCTCCTGAAGATATGTAATTTTGAAACAAGGAATATCAATACTATAGATATTCAATCCAAAATTCTTGGCTATGTCTTACACCATCGAAAAATATTTAAATCTTTACAATTTCATAGTGCTGAGAATAATTGCCCTTTCTCAAATCATCTTGTATTATTAATAAAAGCTATATCTTATACATATATAAAATTAAAAGTTAATCATAGTTTAAAAAATCACAATGAAAAACCATCATTAAGGACTTGGTATAACAAATTGATACTTTTCAGAGGCCAGTGAAAAAGATATTGCAATTAAATAATTATTTTTATATTTAATATAAGTTTACAAAAAGAAATTATGATCTATGTCTTTAAACTTTAAATCTATTCTGTATTTCTGTTTATGTAAATAATGTAATATGAATCATGTATAATATGTAATTCTTTTTGTACAATAATAAATGAATATTTTATATTGCCAATAGGGCAATAGTGTGTAAAAAGTAGTCGTTCTTTGCATCAACTGCATTGAACTATAATGATAACTGGAATGCTCACCCGCCATAAGACTAATGTAAACATAACCGAGATAGCCTGTTAGAAAAAGACAGCAGATAAAATTATAAAAATGATGTTGCCATCTCTTTTTATCACACTTATCAATATGATTGGTTACCAATAAATAATAATATTGTTGTTTTTTCTTTGTTTTAAACTTATTCATCATAATTTAATACTGTTAATTTGTGGTGTATGGTTTTATTTTTATTATGCTTTAATGGTTGTATGAATGCTTTTAAATGTAATAAATCAACTATTATTTTTCACTATGATTTCTTATACAGTTGAAAATTTTGCTATTTTATTTTATGTAAAATATTTTTATTAATATATAGTTTTATTGTCATTACTCATTAGGTACAGGAAAAATATCCAGCTGAAGTCAACTCAACATATATTACCTAGTTAACTTAACACATTATATTATAACTTAAAGGTTAAGACTATAGTTAAAGTATCTACAATTTCTTATAGTATCATTAAATAATTACTTATTTTAGGAAATTTTGGCCAAGAAGTATAACAAAAATCTATTGAAGATTCTGTTTACTGGATCTTTCCTGTAGTAATCGTTGCTATATATATTATACATATTATACAATATCAAATTAAGTTAGGAAAGTAGTAAGAACAATAATTGAAGTAATTTGTAGGTACAGCTTCAGGTAAGTAGTGTAAGTAACTTTTCTTTTAATTACGTATATTATAAATACCTACTATGTTTTTATTTTAATAAAAATCAATTTTTTGTCATTTTATATGCTTATAGTTA